GAGAGGGAGAGGGAGAGGGGGAGGGACAGGGAGAGGGAGAGGGAGAACGGCATTGAGCGTATTCCCAAGGATTTTGGGTTGATCCACACCTGAGCCTGGGAAGTTAGAGGACTGTCATGGCTTGTGTCCAGATGCCCCTGAAGCCTCATCCAGTCATAGGGGGGGCTTTTACAGAGATGGCTAGATCCAGAGTGTTTGCCACTGGGATTAATCCATGGTGCAGTGTTAAGATCAAGGGCACTAGGATTAAGGATGTATATGCTATTCGCCCTAAGTAGCCTAAATAAGACATAAGGGATAGAAAGAACTGTGGTCATCCCTTGCTTGCTTTTGTTTTGCTACTTTCTGCCTTCTATGAACTGTTTCTCCTCTGCAATGCTGGTCTGTCACACCACCCTGCCTTGGAGCCAGCTGATTATGGAATATACTCTCTACAAACTGTGACCTAATAAACCTTTCCTCCTTTAACTTTGGGTGTCAAGCATTTTGTCTTAGAAACGAAAAAAACCACCAAGACAAAGAGTATCTAGTTTGCTGGATGAATGGGAGTGTAGGCAAAAGGTTTGTTGGGTATTTACTTGTGAGAGAAGAGACCACCCCTCCACCTGGAATTGGGCAACTATAAGTTAACTGTGTTATTAGGCAGCTATGGGTTAACTTGGTAACTATGCGCTTTGTAGAATGTACCTAAGTAGCCATGACAACTTCTGTAATCTGTCACCAAGGAACTTAAGACATTCACAAAGTCCGGCCAGAACTGTTCGCTCTCCCCGCTCCACTGCTCTGCATGGTGTACATCCTGCTTGCTATATTCCCCGGGAAACTCCAATGGAGCTAAGCTTCATAGATGTAAAAGAGGTATGTAATGAAGCATAAACTTCTTTTCAGGGCTGTTGAGACTGATGGGAGTCACTCACTGAGCCACGGGCATCATTAAAAGCCCCTTTCTGCTCCTATGTTCACGTTAAAGAGTTATCTGAGCCAGGGTCCTCACTGTTTCCTACATCACTTGCAGAAAAATTATTTTTGATGTTCTTCAGTTCTTCTTGAGGATCCAAGTTTCAATTATCTTCCTACAACTTCCTTCCCTTAACAATATATATCTATTAGCAACACTATATCTTATCTGAAAACGCCTTTATTTTACCTTCATTCTTAGATATTTCTTCTGAGTTTGGTTGTTTTGTTTATTCTTTCAGAAGTTCAAAGATTTTTAGACTTATCTTCTAGCCTACATCATTTCGGATGAGAAGTCAGTGATCAATTAAGGCATTTTACTTGTCAACTTCAAATGAACACCGGAGGACCCAGCTCTCCCAAAGATTTCCTTTAAGAATGACAAAAGTGTGGAATCAGGGATATGTGTGCCATAGTAAACCATGGGTATAACAAGAGGGGGAGAGGAAAGCTATATAAATTGTTTCAAAATAATCGCCTTTGGCTACAAGTTTCAAAACTAATCAAGGCATAGGTTTGAGGTTGAACAGGCAGAGGTCAGGTGGGTGTCCTCATAAAAATACTTTTTGTGCAAGGTTACAACAGACTTTTGTATGTTGTGGCTTGGATGGTCTTCCGCAGTTCTTGTTATCAGACAGATATCTATGAGGACCACTTCTTTTATGGATTCCCAACCTCAGAGTTGTTTTTGTTTTACAGAGTTTGACATAAATGAGTCCACTTTTTCTCATAACTTTCTGAAGTTGTTCACAATATGTTGATTTCTTTGCTGGCTATTTTCCCTTTATCTTTGGCTGTGATTAGTTTGGCTACAATGTGCTGAGGTTCTCCTTGTATTTATACTCGCTTCTTTTTTTATTAAAGGTTGCAAAGATACATGATAACAAGAAATTAAGATACTAAATAAAAATTTCAAATATATATATATATATATAT